TGGGGATTGAACCCAGGTCCTTTGCACTGAGCTACATCCCCAGCCCTTCTTTTATTTTAAAAGAACCTTTCATTTTGAGACAGGATCTCGCCGCATTGCTCAGGCTGGCTTTGCACTTGGGACCCTCCTGCCTTGGCCTCCGAGTGCTGGGTCTGTAGGCGTGTGTCTCCAAGCCTGGCTGTGTGAGATGTTTAAAACGGTCTGACCTCAGGAACAGCGGCTCCTCCCCACCCTCGGTCCCTGCTGGGTGCTGTGAAGTGAGCCCTGGCAAGGGACCCCTGCCCCTGTGTCAGGATGGGCACAGTGCCCCAGGCCTGGCGCTCGCCGGTGCCCCAGCGGGTGCCTTTACCAGGCTCATGGGCAGCCACCGGCAACCTGTGCCACACCCCTGGAACCGCAGGGACCCTGGCTCCTCGCAGCTCGATTCAGGTCCCGTCGGTGTGGCTGGCGAGGCTTTGCCTCTCGGGCATCCGGGTGGCAGGTGCTGGACCCAGTGCTCCTGTTTCTCCCCTGCGTTTCTGTGTCTGTCCTGGCCTCAGGCCGTGCCCCCCACTCGCCGCTCCTCTGTCCAAGCCACGGCCAGGACAGCGTAGGGCCACGAGGGGCCACTTCCTTCCTCTGCAAACCGGGTGACACTGCACTGGAACGTGGAGGGTTTAGGCCCAGAAAGCCGCCGCTTCGCACATGGTGTTAGGTATAGGAAGGGCAGCCCAGGGTTTCCTTCTTCAGACATCTTCCGAAAGGGCACAGCGACTCCGCGCCCCGAAAGGGCCCGGTGACCTCAGAGCCCAGGGTGCTGGAAACGTCCATCTGCCACACGGCGCGGGCACCCACCCTCGTCCGAGGTCGAGGTTCCACCCGGGACGGGACTTGGGCCGAGTGCGGTCCCTGGGGCGGGGCTCTGAGCTCAGCTGTCCCCGCCTTCCCTCCCGCAGGTGAAATGCTACCACAAGAAGTACCGCTCGGCCACGCGCGACGTCGTCTTCCGCCTGCAGTTCCACACGGGCGCCGTGCAGGGCCGCACGCTGGTGCTGGGGAAGGAGGAGCTGGACGGCGCCTGCAGCGGTGAGGGGCACCCCGCGCCCTCGCGTCCCCGCCCTCGCCCAGACTAACCCACCCCACCCTCGCTAACCCAGGAAACCAGGCAGCCCGCCGGTCAGCCCAGGTGCTGCAGGCCTCCCGCGGGTCGGGAGGGCGAGCCGGTCCCATCGAGCTTTCTCTTTTCAGATGACCGCTTCCCCGACTCCGGGAAGGTGGAGTTGGTGTTCTCGGCCACGCCGGACAAGATCCCAGGTGCGTGTCCCCCCTCCGGGCACCCTTGGAAACTTTCATAACTAAGAGGACATATGTAGGGCAGGAGCTGTACCTTGAACAAAACGAAACAAGAGCCCCCAGCAGGAAGGCGTGGCCGGCCCGGGCTGGTCTGCCAAAGACAGCAGAGACCTTGTTAGTGCCCGTGTGTCTGTCCCTCGGTCTCCCGGGCAGCTGTGCTGCTTGTTCACTTCTCTCCTTGGGGAGTAACTGCGCTGCAGAGGGGCCTCCGAGCCCCGCAGGGCGCAGGTGTCGCTGTGCAGAGCCCTTCCTCCTTTCCCCTAAGCCCGAGTCGGGTGAAGGCTTTGCAGAACTGGCCCTCAGAGTCCCAGGCCGGCACTGCGCAGGAAGGGTGATGTCCCCTCCTGGGCTGTGGGGGACATGGGTCCGGCTCTGCCCTGCACTGGGTCGAGGGAGGAGGGCGGGACGCGGAGGCTCTTTTCACACTGACGTTGTAGCCCAGCCGCCTCCTGCCTTGGCTCCGAGGACTCCGAGGACGGGGTGCTGGGCTTGGCCGGGACCGACGCCCTGCTGTGTCCCGCAGGCTCCGAGCACCTGCACAACGACCACGGCGTCATCGTGGACTTCAACACCGCGGATCCGCTCATCCGCTGGGACTCCTACGAGAACCTGAGCGCGGACGGCGAAGGTGCGTGCTCCCAGCCCCACGGCCGGCCCTTCTCATCTGTTACTTTGAGGTAGGATCTGGCCAAGTTACTGAATTGCCCAGGCTGGGTTTAAACTTCCGACCCTCCTGCCTCGGCCTCCTGGAGTTCTGGTATTACAGATGTGTACCGCCACGCCCACCTAGGCTGGGTAGATTTAAATCGGGGTTTTTTACCATGCTGAGGCGGGTAGCAGGCTGGCCGCAAGGTCACATCCAGGAGCCTGGAGCTCCACTCCTGCGCTGCCTTCCTCTCCTGAGTGCCTGGGTGCCACGTGTGGCCCCTGCGTCCTCTGATGGTTATAGCCAGGGGCCTAGGACCGGTGGCCTTGTTTCTGCTCGCGTGTTCAGGCGCCCAGCTCTGCAGCTTTGTTATTTACATCTGCTGTTCTGAGGGTCCCGTCCTCCTAGGGAGTGTACGACTCTGGTCTCAGGGAAAGGGTGACGGCCTGTTGCCGACTGGGGCAACAAAGAGACGGACAGACGGACATCAGAGATGCGGGGCCTCCCACCCTGTGCAGCACTTCCCCGAGCATCGGGCCTGCGCCGAGGGGGCATCAGGGCTTTTGTCCACTTGGTTCCCTCCAGACAGAAGACCTTTGGGGAGCAGCTTGCAGAACCGCTCATGCCCCGGAGGGACCCGACTGTGTGCCCCCCAGCACCAGGGTCCCTCGGCGAGTGCTGGGGAGGTGCGCTTGTGCCTGGCCGGTGGGTGACGCTGAACACAAGGACTTGTGGGGAAGGCAGATGCCCCGAGCCGGGCGGTGCCCAGACGCAGAGAGAACGCACTCCAGGGGTGAAAGTGCAGGTGACGTGGGAGGAGGGGCCGGTGCCAGCAGCCCCCTCCTGGCCCCGAGTGACATGGTGCCTCCTGCCAGGTCCCCCACCTAAAGAGCACCCCGGGGACCCTGCCACTGACCCACGGCCTCCGGGGTCACTTCCCAAAGTGTGGCTGGGACTCGAGTTACAGAGCCGCCGGGAAGTGGAGCTCGAGAGGCGGCACACAGGAGAGATCTCCGGTCCCACTGTCCTCTCCTCTCCTCTCTCTTGCAGTACTGGGGCTTGAACCCAGGGGCTTTGCACTGAGCTACATCCACGACCCTGTTTGCTTTTTATTTTGAGACAAGATCTCTCTGAGTTACCCAGGCTGGGCTCAGACTTGCAGTCCTCCTGCCTCAGCCTCCCAGAGTGCTGGGATGACAGGAGTGCGCCCCCGCACCTGGCTTGGTGACAGGATACCACAGCCAGGTGGTGGAGACAGCAGGAACTGGCCTGTCGCAGTTCTGGAGGTGGGAAGTCCCAGGGCAGGCTGAGTTCTGGGGAGGGCCCTTGTCCTGGTCACGTCTGACACCCACCACTTCCGAAGGAGAGGTTGACTTGGGCTCTGCTGCAGGGTCGGCTGGCTGCGAGGCACAGGGAGGGCAGGAGAGCTGCTCAGGCCTCAGTGTCCAGGAAGCAGAGAGGAGGGGCGGGGACTCAATACACCCTCCTGCTCACATCCGTGACAGCCCCGCCCCCTGGCAGCAGGTCAGCCTTGGACTTGTCCTTGAGCAGCGGGGACAGGGCCTGTGATCCGTTGTTTTCCACACACTGCGGGCTTGGGGTCCCTTCACGGCTACACCGTCACAGCCCCTAGCCTGGGTCCAGTGGCTTCTTTCTTGCTGTGTCCTTGCAGGACAGAAGGAGGGTGGAGGGAGCTCAGGGGCTGCTGTCACAGGGATGCTAATCCCGATGGCACCTCTGGGCTCAAGTCCTAGTGTCGCTGCCCCCCCGGGAGTCGGGTGATAGCAGGAGTCAGGGAGGAGCAGGTGCCAGGTCAGAGTGGAGCGCAGTCCGCGCCTGCTGAGTGAGCGCTCAGAGGAGCAAGGTGAACTGCACAGGTCCCAGGCCCGTGTTTCTGGCCTGTGGACGTGACAAGCCGCACTCCTGTGGAAGGTTCTCACGTGGCACCTGCCGAGCCGGGAAAACCGTGTTTTCCGAGTTTCCTCCGGGCGCCCAGGGGCGGGCCGCCTCTGCCGGATCTCCTGAGCCCGTTCTCTGGTCAGGGTCACGGTTCCCGCATGCAGCCATGGTTCTGGCCTGCTGGAAGTGGCGTCCTGGCTGTATGTTGTACCAGGGGCAAAGCTCCATGCCCCCCTGGTCCTGGCTCTGAGGAGTCCAGGAGGCCGGGCAGCCTCTGGAACCTTTGCTGCTCTCCAGACGCCCCTGCCGCCCTGGACGGGCCCAGGCCTTTTCTGCCAAGGCTGAGGCGCCGCGTTCTGCACGGGAAGGAGCAGCCTGGGTCCTGCACAGCACGGTCTCCATCACCAAGTCCCGTCCTCAGCCGAGAGACGCGCTTGAGGTCAGGGCCGCTCCTGCCTCTTGGCGCTGCGCTCCCAGCCGGGCTGAAACCACGGAGCTGTGTGCATGCGTGTGGGGGCTCAGCGTCGCCAGGCCAGGGGCCAGGCCGGGCAGCCGTGCGGCAGCCTGCAGGGAGCCTGGCTGCGGGTCCTAGTTTAGAGCGAACGGGAGCTGGGTCGGAGAGACCCAAGCTCGGTGCCCGCAGGCCCCGAGAGCCTCCAAGTCCCGTCCTGTGGGTTAATTTCACAGTCACACAGGGCAGAGCTCCACGGGCCCTGCTCACTGGAACCCTGATTGCGGCAGGTGTGCCCACGTCACTGCGCGTAGCAGAGGGAGTGGGTGGACTGCTTCCTGGGCGGGCGGAGCTACTGCGCCAGGATGGGCGTGGCCAGGACTGGTAAAAGGCCCAGAGCAAGGAGGCGCCAGGCCTCGCTGCCCCGTGCAGGGAGGGCTGTTCGGATCAGACCGCTGTTCCCAAGGTCTGTCTTACTCTGCACTACCTTGTATTTGTGTGGAACCGGGAATTGAACCCTGGACCTTTGCACTGGGCTATATGCCCTTTTCTATTTTCAGGCAGGATCTTGCTATGTTGCCCAGGCTGGGCTTGAACTTGCAACTCTCTTGCCTCAACCTCCCAGAGTGCTGGGATGGCAGAGTGCGCCCCCTCCTGGCTTGGGGCTGTACTTGCCTTGCAGTGCATCGGAAGTTCTCCCTCTTCCCATGCTGGGCAGCTCAACCCCGCCCCGCCCCCGCCCCTCCACCGCTGCCCGTGCTCTGTGAGGTTTCATAACTGTAAACACAGTTTAACCTTGTGTGCATCAACACACATCGTTTGTGTCCATCCACTGTGGCCAGAGGGCCTGGGTCCCGGGCCCCTTGGGTACTCAAGTCCCTCAGAAGAGGCTGTAATATTTGCGTGTGGTCTCCCCATGTCCTGTTGTACACTGTCAGTCATCCCTGGATTCCTTATCCCTGACAGCGGTCACCTTGATTTCTTTTGCTTTTGGGTTTGTTTCATGTTTTTTGAGACACAGTCTCCATATGTAGCCCAGGTTGGACCCAAACTCTTGGTGATCCCCTTGCCTCAGCCTCCTGAGTGCTGGGGTTATGCGTGTACACCACTATGCTTGGCCTTTTCTTAAAATACCATCTGTGAATGCTTTTTAAGTAGTTGTGCTGTTTAGGGGCAAAGGAGAAGAAAAAAGTCTACGTGCACATTTTACTTTATCTTGGTTTGGTTTTTTTTGAGACAAGATTTCACTGTGTAAGTTCATAATGATCCTCCTTATACTCATAGTGATCCTCCTGCCTCAGCCTCCCAGGTGCTGGGATTACAGGCAGATACACCATGTTCAGCCCCGCACCCATATTTTAGAAATACTTTCCAAGCACAGTTAGTTGACTGTGGATGCGGAATGCACAGTCCTAGGGGTGACCAAACACCGTATCCTCGTGGCCCATCCCCCACGTGCACCACGGGCTGTAGCTGCAGTGTGTTGGACCTGGGACGCCACGTAAAATTGCACTTGCATTGTGACAAGTAGGACCCCCGGATGCTAGGCCACGCACAGCTGCACGGAATCACCCCGTGTTCCCTCCAGGGCCCTAGGACAGAGGGGATGGAGGTGCCGTAGTTTCATTTAACCTGAGTTACTTCTCATGTTCAGCGTGGACGGCAGGGGGCGTGTGGTAAAGCATCTACCTGGACTTGGAAAACCAGAGTCACCTGAACGGCAGGGTAGGGAGAGTGAGCTTCCGTGATCTCCAGGCTCAGCCGACCGAGTGAGTCCCCCTTCCTGGGCAGCAGCTTCGTCTGTGAGCCCTGCTCCTTCTCCTCGTAGGTGTGCTGCATGTTGGGCGGGGCAAAGCCGTGAGACCCCAGTGCCCCGGAAGTCTCGTTCTGAGGGGGTCCTGCCGAGGAGGCCGTGGACCAGCCTGGGCGGGCGCCAGGGATGTGGTTAGAAAAGTCAGGGAGGACAACCTGACGATGTCAGGGACAGAAGAAGCCCAGGGATGGAGCCAGGAAGGTGTTGCCTTTGGAATCGGGACCGAGACTTACACTACAGGGGGCCTGGGAGAGGACTGGGAGGGCGGGAAGGCAGCGCAGCGATGAGCCTCAGGGCTCACTGCCGCCCACAGCCCGCTGTCCTCGGGGCTCCAGATGGGGTGCACACTGGTCCCCAGGGAGTTCCTTCCCTATCCCAAAAGCCAGAGCTGTGGGGCGTGGTGACAGGTTTTTAACAAGGACTCTGTGCCACTATGGTCTTCGGGACTTAAATATGGAAAACTGGAATAATTCAGGATTCACAGAGGTAACTTCCTGTGGAAACCCATACTGTGTTCTCTGTGAAATGACCCCAGACAGGGTCATGTTGACATCCGGGGGTGTTGGAGTTGATGGTGGACTTCCGCCAGGATTTCAGTAGCCTATTTCATGTTGTGTTGTGTTGTGTTGTGTTGTGTTGTGTTATGTTTGCGCTTTGCGTGGCCCTGGGGACCCGGGTCCAGCAGATGGCGGAAGAGGCGCTTACACACGGTCCCTGGAGGGGTCAGCACGGGAGAAGAGTCGGAAGTCGGGACACTCAGGGCAGACAAGCGGTGGGACCAGCAGGAGCTTGAGGGTCAGGGACTGGGCATGATGCAGG